ATCTTTATACTTACACCCATTTTCTGGTAACAAACTTTATGTGGGCTTTTGTGACTTTATGTATTTAATTTGCATGCTTAAGTGTTTCTTTTGTCAGTGTTGTATTTCAATAGTTCGTTAAATCTAAGAGTGTCACCTGACGGTCAAGTTGACTTGGTATGAACAAAATTATATTGGCTAAACAATAACCTATAGTTATTAATTGTTTTTCTTTACAAAATGATTACTTATAGGTGTTGAAATACTCTTTAAAATGGCTGGATGATTGGGAGGCTCGGACTGGAGTTGATGTCACTGATAATCAATTCTTAACAAAAAGTACTTCTGAAGGTTTACGTGTAACACTGAACTCTTGTATTGAATTAACAGATTACTTAATAGACAAATTTGGATTTAAATATGTTCTATCTGGAAAAATAAACCAAGATGCACTTGAAGTACTTACAATACAGTGTAGACATTTTATAAATTTATACTAATATCTATTTACATTTTACAGAGATTTTTTGGTACAGTTCGAATGGCATCTGGGGCTAATGACCACCCTGCCACCCCTACCTTCCTTCAAGTATATAAATTACTTTCTGTATATTCTATTATAAAACCTCCAAAATATGGCAACTGTTCTATCAATATTATGGACCCTGGATCCAATCTAATACGTTTATCAGACATCACGAGTATATATCATAATGATAAAAAATCACCGACAGCCTTAGAAAACTTGAAAAACAAGCTAGATACATTAATTGACGATGGAACATGGGAATTCACTGACATCATTGAACATGATTACGCTCATGCACAAGTAATTGACTGCTTAAAATATTATATCACCGGTTACTTGTGTTTTCAAATTGGCAAAAAGACACAATGTGTTACATGCAAGCAAGCATTTGTCACACACTTGCCACCTACAAATAATGTTAATGCAGCAGAATTAACAAACTTAAAATCAAAAGGAAAACTTACTCACCCAAATATTATATTTTTTAAATTCATAAGTGCTGTAGAAGATTGCTTTATGAAAAATATTAAGAGCCCAGACGTCTATAATAAAACTGTAGATGATTTAATTGAACATTTTCAAAGATTTAATTTTCCATGTCCCAAACACAAATATGAGATTTTTGCCTATGCAATTAAGTATTACTTGAGTATGCGAATGAAACAATGGTCAAGAACAGTGAATCGGGAAATTGTTAAAACGAACACAAAGAAGAAAAAACTAGCAAAATTTTGTACAACATAGTTTTTAACAAAATATTAATAGGAATTATCACCAATTATGAAGCCATGAATCAGTGCACTATAAAAAGATAAATTATAATAATATAGGTACAATATTCTAATGTTATTAACTATATAATTAACATTTAACGTAAGTTAACATTAAACATTAAACTATAACGATTAAAATTTTAAAAATCGTATACCTATTTATTTACTTAAATGTTGACTACTTATATCATGACATCAAATATTGTGTAGTTTTATAAACCACTAGAGCGCAGCAGAGAGCCCGTTCCGGTTTGCTCCGTAATAAAAGCGTTTTTGTAAGTATGTATTTTCAGTTGAGTTGCACGGGCCTGCACTACACCGTGTCGTGTAATATAATCACGGTTACCTCAGTTACCAAACGATACCGCATAGTTGAATATATTCAACTTTTGACCGTGTGGTTACATTAAGTATGAACCCGGCTTTATCTGCACATAAATGTAACCACACGGTAAAAAGTTGAATATATTCAACTATGCGGTATCGTTTGGTAACTGTGGTAACCGTGATTATTTTACACGACACGGTGTAGTGTGAACCCCCCTACAGCGTTAAAAAAATCAAATTTTTTACTAGTTACCAACAATCAGTACAACCACTTATGCTTTTTCAAAAAAATTTAGCAAAGTAGGTACATATATTTCATTAAAATTAATTTAATTTGAAGTATAAAATAATTATTATTGCAAGTTTAGTGCTTGCTGTTTTCTATATACCTACTAGGTATATAGAAAACAGCAACTAAGGTATTAGTAAGGTATTACCTAGTATCAATAACAATTATATAGATTCTATATGTATAGTATAATTTAGTATTCTGTATTCTGTATTATTAGTATGTACCTACTGTGAAACAGTGAAACAATATTAATATAAATTTACAAATTTTAGTCATTTTTACGTATTTTGTCAATATTTGAACTTTAAATGCTTATGAAAAAAAATTGTGATTATGAATTTTTAATTTTTTTTATCTGCCTTTGAAACAATATAATAGGAGCTTTCTATTAAATTTTCAAGTTTTTTTGACAAAAATAAAATTTTATTGATATTTAAAGAAAAAAACTAAAAAAAATGGAAACTGAAAATGTCCGTAAACAGCTCAAAATAAGTCAAAATATTTGGAAAATGTTATGGTCTATAGAAAATGCTAATTTAAACATTCAGTCATAATTTATATAAGATATTAAGATATCTTAGAGGTGCAAATTGCAAATTTCAATCTATTATCATTTATCATATATCTATGATTATCATTCATCGTAGTCGTGGTAAGATAATTTTAAAATTGTAAATACGTTTGATTAAACACCTAACCTCAATTCATATCTTCCATGGCATGCTTATGTTTTCCATGAATTTGTTGTGTTTTGTTTATTTGTGGGTGTAACTTACTGCAACTGCAGTAGTGACAGCAGCAGCCGTCAACCGAGAGGTGTAGTTTGTCGTGTTTGTAATTATTGTCGGTTCTTTTATTATAATATGTAATTTATAATTTAAATTAACGTTGTACTAAATTTAAATGCCGTCGAAACCTAATTATGTTTAACTCGGTGTTTGTGTTAAGTTCAGTTACATTAAAATAGGTAAGTTAACGGTCGACATTTTTGTGTGTTATACATTTTTCGGGTTTTTCTAGGCGTTAACAGAGTAGACTATAAAATTGATTTTTTTTTTTTAAACACGCTATCCGTTTTAATTCACACGCAACCTTTTAATACAACGTAGTAGTTATTAGATGCTATATAGTACGTGTCCAGAGCACTACAATTCGAGCTTAACATTAATTTTTTTCCACAGTCAATCGTTTTATATCTACACGTACCTATTGTTACATTGATTTAAAATGTCATGGGGGTAGGGGTCACTCATTCATAATATTTATGAGATACTGGATATTATAAACTGTAAAGTATGTATCCTTCAACTGTAATTGACTGTTAAATTGCGCTCATAAGTTACAAAAGATAAATGCCAACGTAAAGCTGAGTTCCTATTTGAGTATTGACCTATTAGGATAATGATGTTGGTTGTTCCGTTATTGCTGTAGTCTGTTCATTCTGTTCTATTTATTTTTCTGCTAATAACAATTTTATTTTTTTTTGTTATTGACTTTTTTTTCATATCACTTAATAATTTACAAGGTAATGTTTAAACCACATCCTGCTATACTCAACTCTACTACATAGACATATAACTTAAAAATACTGCATAATATAAACAGTGCGACAGTTTTAGTTAGTATGAATCTAGTAATATTCTTATTTCATAGCAAGCTTTATTGTAATATTAAAATGAAGAATTTAAAAAATATTTATCTGTAACTACCTAATTATAATATTATATTAGCATTTACTTAAACTTAAATTTGTCACAATTTAAATATAATCAACATTTAGTACATTTAAACCTTTTTTACTTTACCTATTACAAATCACTTAAAATCAACTATATATGTTTTCCTATTTGTTTAAAAAATATACTTGTTATTCTAGGTATTTAAAATAATATATTTTTGTAAACACAAATATTAAATTTTCCAATAAAATTCCTAGGGTGCACGTATTCAATATTATAAAAAACTTGATACACTCGTCGCCTACAGTAGATACAAATTCTCAACCATTTGTCTTTTAGTTATTGTTAACGTTAAATTTACTATTAAATATTTATCATTGTTACCTATATTATTCTTAGATTAGTTTTTGTTTAATGTTATTTGTGTACCTAACCAAATATCTATTTTTTAGATTGAAAAGGATTTATATATTAATAAAATCATTTTTAAAAAAACGTTAGGTACTACTTTACAACTTATAATATTTCAGTTTTTGAATGAAGCAAATTTGTTACATTTATGAGTCATAATGAGTCATGCTTTCTTTTATCTCTATAAATAGTACCCATACTTAGTAGTTAGTTCATAACAATTTAAGATAAGAAGTACATAGAAGATAATCCATTTCTATTTATAAATAATGAAATAATAAAAAAAAATTTTTAAAAACAAACACAATTATTATAATGAATGAATATTAAAATAATATAAACTATTATCAAATTAAATAACCTTTTATAATTAGTATATATATATCAATAAGTTTGAAAATAATAAAACTGACATTTGTCATAATTATATAATTATTAAACTATAATTATTAATTATAGTTATTTTCATAATCGTAGTTTTATCTTGTATTCTTTGTATTAAACAATTAAGAAGACGTTCTCCCCGTTGTGTTGTCTCCGTCTTACAAATGTTCAACATAGCCATAAACTATTTTCCTTGTAACAACTTTACTGTCTGTATTTACAGTAGAATTACTAAAATTCCACTACGCATGGGAAGAACTTTGTCTGTGACTAATTGCTTTTATTTTTTGTGTAACATAAATACAACTAAAATTATCAGTTAGTAAACATTAGTTTTTTTGTTGGTTTATTTCATTTAATTATTAAGAATGATTGGTGAGTGTTATCAAAAAAAATTAAAATTCTAAGTCACAGATCTTCCCTATGCATTGTGGAATTTTGATAATTCTACTATAAATACAGAGAGAGTAAATTTGTTACTTGCAAAACAGTTTTTGCCTATACTCTATTAAGATGGAGAGAACTCAACCGGCTGGTATCACATCCTCTTAAATAATCATATTAATAACAATTTCTATTATGTTTTTAGCGTTTAATCAATATATTTGGAACGTAAGAATATCAAAATGTATAGAATTACACAACATTTGCTGTACTCCGTACAATTGTTATTTTTATTCCTTGTAACAACTTCATCTATAAGTAAGTATCTAAATTTATATTAGTAACATGAAAGTATAGATGTATTTTTATTAGGTTTAAGACTTGAATGAAAGCAATGCATTGTTTTGCCATTTTGTTTCAACTTAAAGCTAAATTTGAGAATAATACATTTTAATAAGTAATAGAATTAGGTACATTGAATATGTTTAAAGATGATCCGAGATGATCCTTTTAATGTTTAAGCGTTTTCACTTAGACAAATCTTAATTTTTGAAGTATAATAAATATTTTAAGTTTTATCATCAAACATTTTTTGTCTTAGTGTTTCTATATACATTTAAAAAATTTTTTTTTAGGCTTACAACAAAAAAAGTTTTAACTATTAGTAAAATATAAAAGATATGATAACATTGACCATATTATGGTAGTAGGTATATATTATATTGAAGAGACTTTCATCTAAAAGTATTTTGGTAGAATTCTTTCAAAAAATATTTTTATAATTCTATTCTAATTCCATAAATATTCTTATGAAAAATCAACATAAAAGTGTATTATCAATTTAGCAGGTCATTAATAATGATTTTTATATGTTGTTTATTTACATTTTTGTTATAATTAAATGATTCTAGTTCAATCTCCACCAAGAATTGTAAAAGAATCTATTACAGATGAAGTACTATTTCAAGTAGCCACTGTTCAAAATCAAAATGTTAGACCTTTTGTAATTGATTGTGAAGCAGAAGGAGAACCTGCTCCAAAGTAATTTAAATTACATATTTAAATTATGTACAATTTTGTTTTATAATATTAAATGTTTAACATTTTTATGATAGGTATCGATGGATGAAAAATGGTAAGAATTTTGATTGGCAGGCATATGATGACAGGATAGCTCAACAACCGGGTCGTGGTTCATTAACTATTACCGAACCTAGAGATGAAGATCTTGGTATGTTTGTTTTTTAAATAATGATTATTATTTGTTTACAATTTTATTTAATCAAACTTTTTTTTTACAGGACAGTATCAATGTTTTGCAGAAAATGCTTGGGGTACAGCTACTTCTAAATCTGTGATGGTTGTGAAGGCTGAATTAAATTCATTTAAAGATGAACCAAAAGTCTATGTTGAAGCTCAAGAAGGTGATCCATTTAGACTTGTTTGTCATCCTCCAACTGGATGGCCAAAGCCAAATGTATATTGGCTTATAAGGGTAAATATTAAAAAAAGTATTAATTTACTGAATCGACTCATAATTAATGATATTAATTTACTAATAGAATAAAGATGGTGGCTTAACAACAGTTAATAACACTAGAATGACATTAGATCCAGAAGGTAATCTCTGGTTCTCAAATGTAACCAGACATGATACTAGTGATGGCTCTACATATTTTTGTTATGCTGAATCATTGACAATGTATGTATCTTTATATTATTAAAATATCACAGAAATATGAATAACCTAAGTTAATTGTAATTATTAGGAGCGAGTATAAATTAGGTAACCCTGTAAATTTGAATGTTATTCAAACCGCAGAAACAGCTTTACAAAATAAATACCCACCCACTCAACAATATGTAACTAGAAGAAATGAGGTGGCGTTATTGGATAAAAAAGTTGAATTGTTTTGTATTTATGGTGGAACGTAAGTGAAATTTTACTTGCATTTGTATTTATGATATTTAAGTTTAAACATTTATTGTTTTCTTGATACTTGTAGTCCTTTACCAGAAACCGTTTGGCTCAAAGATGGTTTGCCTATACAATCCAATGAAAGGGTAAGCCAAGGAAATTATGGCAAAAGTTTGATAATTAAGAAAGTTAAATTTGAAGATAAAGGAAAATACACATGTGAAGTTAGCAATGGTGTGGGATCACCTCAATCATATAACATTGAGCTGGATGTTATGGGTACAATAATGTTATATTTACATTAGTGAATACTTATAATTTATAAATTATTGATATTGAAACAAATTAACATATTACAATTTAATTAATAGCTGTGCCGTTTTTCACTGTGGTTCCGCAAATCGTAGAAGGAGCTGAAGGAGAAACTGCAGTTATTAAATGTGAAGCAAGTGGTAATCCAGAACCTACAATTAAATGGATTCATAATGGTCGACCATTAAGTGAAGCACCTTTAAATCCCAGACGTTCGGTTACTTCTAATACTATTACAATTACTTCATTGATTAAAAATGATACTGGAAATTACGGTTGTAATGCTACCAACAGTATTGGATATGTTTACAAAGATGTTTATATTAATGTATTGGGTATGTTGTTAATTATTATAATTATTGAAATATATATCAGAGCCATCTTCCTAGTTTATCAACAAATATTTGTATCTAATATTAGCTTTGGCTCCTGAAATTACTGAACCACCTAATAAAGTAGAAACTGTTGATGGCCGTGCTATTACTATTGGATGTAAAAATTTTGGAGTGCCAAAACCACATGTTAAGTGGACAAGAAATAATATAGAATTAACCGGTGGACGTTATTCAACACTGGATACTGGTGATTTACAAATAAGGTTGGTTTAGTCAAACTTAAGGTTACCTAAGGATTTATTATTTACAATATTTTTATAATCATTAAATTTAAATACATTTGCAATGTTTTTTTTTTGTTGCTTGAATGAACATAAATTGTATTTTAGATTCTGAGCAACTTGTAAAACATACTTTTTTTTATTAAATACTACTAATTCAATTATAATACAATATATTTTAAAATATGAAAAAGAAGATAAATATTCTCTAAATCCCAAAATATGCAAAGTAAAATGACTACAAATGATGTAATCAACAAATCATTTAATTTTTTTTACCCTTCTATAAGTGCTTAAGCCCAACCAAAATATTATAAGTCTAAAAGTCTACTCTATAGTCACAACCGTTCAACTAATTACAATTTGTTCAAATTTTGACAAAATTGGGAATTTAATGCATTCCGCATTTCCCCAAAAATAACAAGCTGTTGAATATATTAATAATGGCCTCTGAGTTAGGCAGTAGGGAAAGAAGAGATGGGAAAGTGTGAGTTGGTCATAGCTTGATAGGATAATTGGTGGGAGGCCGGTTATAAAAATAATCATAACTGGTCATTCAGTAACGCGTTTGACGCCATTCTGCGTCTAATATACATTTAAAATAAATGGTTTAATATTTCCTACTCGTGGCTGAATGTTATTATTTGCTATTTATTTTTTTTTTTTATTATTTATGTTTTTAAATATGTTAACATACGTTGTTATGAGCAGTTTCATAATTTTTTTAAAAAAATTATTTTGTTTTTACTATTATCATACACACTGGGTGAAAACAGCAAAAAGACAGGCAGTCATGGTGTTAAATAAAATCTTATTGCGGAGACATAGTGTGCAAATGTTGGTGCAGTGGAGCTTTCCACATATTATTACACATACCAGGCAATATATAATAATTAGTTATTCATGTATTATAAACAAACTAATGAACCCAACTTACACTGTGGTCTTTTCTTATTTTGAATATAGTATAGAAATATCTTAATTTTTGTCAGTCACTTAGGTGTTTTTGATGAGAATATCTATACTATTATTTATAATAATCTACCCTCCCCCCCACTGATCAGAATAGCGTTATTTTAACAATTCATACTTCCAATTTAACACATTCATTATAGTGACCTTCTTAATGATGATGTATTCTTATTACCTACTATAGGTACATCAAAGCGAGTTCCTTGGTTTTGGCTATACATTTTTTGTATTTTTTATTTAAAAAAAAAACTGTTAAGCTATGATATGATAAAATATATTATTAAAATGTCAAGAAATCTCTTAGTAGTAGAGTTCTTTAACAATCAATATAATTTTAATTCTTCTTATAATAGTCATTAAATAATTTTTAAGTAATAATAAAGTTAATAATTAATATTTAATTTTTTTTTAGTGAAGTTGGTTTTACTGATGCTGGAAACTATACTTGCATTGCTACTAATAACTATGGATCAGCAAATGCATCTGGGACACTTACTATTAAAGGTAAACTATATAAATTTAAAATTTAATATATTGATCCATTTATAGTTATATATAGAACTAATTATATTGTAAATAATTAATTTTTATCTATAGAACATACGCGAATCACTGCTGCACCAGAAGACTATGAAGTAGTTGCTGGATCAGTGGCCACATTTCATTGTACTGCAACTTCCGATCAATCTTTGCATCTTAACATGGAATGGTTAGCTAGGGATGAACCTATAAATTTTGATACTGAACCTCGTTTTGTCAAAACTAATGATTATTCTATGACCATTACTAAGACTATTGAATTGGATTCTGGAATGTATACTTGTTTAGCTAGAACTGAGTTGGATCAAGCAACAGCTAGTGCCATGCTTATTGTTCAAGTAAACATTTATTATTTGTAGACATATTATCATGAAGTGTGTTTATTTTTATATATTATTTTAGGATAAACCCAATCCACCACAATTATTGGGAATCACTTGTAATAAAAGAGATGCTGCAGTAAAATGGCAACCTAAAGGAGACAATCGTGCACCTATTCTGCGTTACACTATTGAGTACAATACGAGTTTTGCTCCTGATACTTGGTCAGTTGCATCAGATGACGTACCTGCATCTGGTCAAACATATATTGTACCAATGACACCTTGGGCAAATTTTACATTTCGAGTTATTGCAATGAACAAAATTGGTAGATCGAATCCATCTTTACACTCAAGTGTTTGTACCACACAGCCTGATGTACCTTATAAAAATCCAGATAATGTTGAAGCTGCAGGCACTACAGCGTCTAACCTTGTAATTAGCTGGACAGTAAGTGATATTTTAATTTAAAGAAATTGTTCACCAATATTAATAATAAAATAAAAATGTTTAGCCAATGCCAAAAATTGAACATAATGCTCCGGGCTTAAGATACAGAGTTTATTGGAAACAAGATATACCTGGCCAAGTGTGGAATTCAGAAGAGATAACAGACTATACTGTAAAAGAATTAGTGATAGAGAATCAACCAACCTACCAACGTTATAAAGTAAAAGTAGTTGCTTCAAATGAAAAGGGTGAATCTAATGTTCAACAAAAAGAAGTCATTGGATATTCAGGCGAAGACGGTAAATTAAAAATCATTATTAAATTTTACTATTTTAGTTGTAATTATTGATTTGTGTAGTTCCTGTCGAGACTCCTCAAAATCTAACTGTTTTGAATGTTACTGGAAGTAGAAGTGCAATATTAAGTTGGGATCCTGTTTCACCAGAGTCTATCAAAGGAAACTTTAAAGGCTACAAGGTAAAATCAATTATAATATTAGGTTAATACCCATATTATGTAAGTGGATTATTTTTACTGATTCCTTGTTATAGATTCAATTTTGGACTGAAAGAGATGGAGAAAACAATATGATTGAAGAACAAGTTAGTTCAGATACGACAACAGCGGAAATCAAGAAATTTTTGCACAACGCTAAAACATTTTGTGCGTATACTTGCACACAACAGTCGTTTTAATGGACCACCTAGTCATCCACCAATAGTTTTTGATACTCCTGAAGGAGGTAAATAAATACCGTAGGATCTTAAGATATACTTTATTTTAAGATTGAATTGAATATTTGAGTTATTCAAAGCATACCTAATGTTTCTTCTATTTAAATTATTTATTAATAAATATAATAATATCTGAAAATAAATAAATTTATATTATTAAAATAATGATAAAATGTTATGTTTAGTTCCTGGGCCTGTTCATGGAGTTGATGCTGAACAATGGGGCTCTTCCGCAATTTTGTTAAGTTGGCAACCACCAGAAGAAGCTAATGGAGTATTAACTGGCTATGAGATTTCTTATGAAGCTATGACTCAAGAAGGTGTCGGAGAAAAGTCACAACGTCCTTCTATTACTGATCCTAAACAAACTACTGCTAAATTGGCTTCACTCAAACCATCAACTAATTATCGAATCTACATTAAAGCAACTACAAAGGCTGGTGTTGGTGAACCGTACGTAAAGATTTTGTGTATTTTAAGTTTTTATATTTGAGATAATTATATAATATTATTCCATAATAGATTTTTCATTGAGCAACAAACCAAATCTCCTTTACCTGAAGGAACTGAATTGGATAAGCCAGAGTTCAGTTATGTCCACAAAGCTTCTAATAATGTTTTTGATACAGTTCGTATTTTATGGACACCTAAACTTGATGGAAACCCAGGATCTCACTTCTTTGTGAAATACAAGTAAAAATGCAAATTAAAAATATTCTATTCTTTATTTTACTTATATAAATTAATTTTTATAGGCTTAAAGGTGCCAACTTGTACGAAGAAACTAAACCTGAACTTGATATGAATTTTATTGATGTAAAAGGTTTGAAACCCGGGGAATTGTATGAATTTGTTGTAGTTGCTGTAGATGGTAATACCATGAAGGAATCGGATATTGCTGAAATTGAAGCGTCGAGCACTGGTACATTTTTAATGCAAAATTATTTGTTTTATAATTTTTTTAATTTTATTTATGTTAACTGATTAAGGAGATTTTTTATTTATGTAACATAATAGTGTATACATGGATGAATTGCTTCCTCTTTATAATTATGAATTTAGTCTCATTTAATAAGAAAATGTATATAACATAATACAATGAAATACTATTCTGGTGTTGTTTCTATTGAGGATATTAGAGCAAAAGCCGTAATATAACTAAAATAATAATTTACTTCTATTATTTAGATCCAATAATTAGAAGAAGCGAAAATATGGCTACATCAGGATGGTTTATTGCAATGCTGTTAGCTTTGTTATTCCTCATTATCCTGTTAATTATTGTATGTATAGTAAAACGTAATAGAGGAGGAAAATATGTAGTACATGAATCAGAAGCAGCCCGTGGTCGACATGATTATCCTGATGAACCTCATTTTCATGAATATTCGCAACCGTATGTATATGAACTTTATAAGTTAATACAAAAATTGTATATTCTATTTTTATTAGACTTGGTGGTGCAAAACGATTAGGAAGTGAAAAACAGTCTCCAGAAAGTGATACAGATTCAATGGCAGAGTATGGAGAAGGAGACACAGGTATATATATATTTCTAGAACTTTATGCATTATTTTTATGTTTTGTTTACAAAATGTCCATGTCCTTTTCTACACCATTTACTTACCTGTTGCTAAACCGTTTGATAATAGCACTTAAAAGTATAAATGTTCATATCGTTCATTTTCATGTAGTTCACAATTCAAACTTAGTGCAAAATATGTTGGTCTGTGTGCATGTTGAGTATCACCAAAAAAAAAATCTTCAAAGTAGAATAAAAATGATTATATAGCTCATTAGAAAGTATATGTGTTTTGTAAATAATTTTACATTACAAATAATATTGTGAGTTTCTGATATACATTGCCTAATGTGATCAAAGTTTGAACATACAATTATTCCAATCTATTTAAATTAAATTAAATAATTATATTTTACTCCATTGCACACATTTTTATATTTAGTATATTTTTTAAGTTCTTGCATGTTAGTTATTGTTTTGTTTTCTCTTCCATTTCACCCGTAGAAGGAATGAATGAAGATGGCTCGTTCATTGGCTTGTATGGTAAAAAAAGACAGGGCGAAACCACTTCGGCCGGTTTCGCCACACTTGTCTAAATGTGTGAGTACATACCCTTAAATGTAAATTTATTATTCGTTAAAAGCTAATTATTTATATTTGTTTTTATATTTTAATTGAACAGCTCAGTTTACCGAGGACGGATCTTTTATTGGTCAATATGGCACAGCTAGAAAAAATCGGCAACAGCAATCTCAACCTCAACCACAACCACAATCTCCACTTCAAGCTGTCACTGGTTCGTCCTCTGCTGCCACTTATGTATAATTTTGGACAAATATTTTTGGCATTTACTCATTTGCCTAGATAATACATCAAATATTTTTATGCATTTTGAACAAATCTTCCCTGCCCTAAAACCAAAGCTTTTCATGTCAGTATTACTATTTATTATTTGACCAATAACGCTTAAAAATTATTTAATTGTAAAGATACAGGCTATAATGTTGTCTTTTGTTGTAACTAATGGTTGTATTTTTGTAACGTGTCTATTAATTTCATATTAGAATTCCTCGTCTGTGATAAAAACGTTTTTAAGTTCAAGATAAAAAAAAAAATAGGAACATTAGAAAAACTAATTAACTTAACCATTTAATTTCAATTGGAAAGAAGAAGAAGTAGTATTATTTTTAATATATTAAAACAATTAATTCATACATATATAAATATATTTAAATTAATATTGGAATTTTGTATTTATACCATACCAATTATTATAGGCATTACAACTTTTTATTTTGTGCCCCAGTCATTCTTAGGATGGTTTGGTTGTTGTTGTGATTAATTCTGTTAATTTAATATTAATTTTAAAATGCACGCTACGCCTGCGCTTCATTTAACACCTTTTTAAATATTTGTTATGTTATATATAGACCTCTAATAATTGTATATGTTTACTGTTTAGTATGTATTATAATTTTGTAATCAGTATTACTCATGAACAATGGCAAATTTCTTTTTTTCTTTTTTTTTGATCTCAATATCAAATTTAAATTGAAGCCATACTATAATTTCACATCACATAAATCTATATAAGTGACCTAAGTTTCATGACAATATTTATATAAAAAGATACATTTATTTTATTTTTGTAAAACCTCAATCCAATTTTTAATATGAACAATATATTATTATATTATATTATATTTTTGATCAAATTTTCACCCACCACCTTTCACTGCCCTTTATAGAATAATCCTTGTTATTATATTTGTATAACCATTTTTTTTTTTTCATATTTATGTAACGCATGCATTCCATATAAATAGATCTTAGTTAAGTTCATAATAATATATTAATAAAAACCTATGTAAAACATTTTTACCTTTATTCAAAAACAAATATTAGAATGTGACATGTCTAACTTTGCCTTATAGATGTATTCAACAACGACACTTAATATTTTAGTTTATCACATTTTAAATAAACTAATGCACCTGAGTTTAGTTTGTAGCCAATTTAGATGTAAAATATTTTTTTTTGTCAACATTTTCCAGTGCCCTATGATTTAATTTATTTATTATTTTTAAACACATCATATTGTTATTTTTAAGTTAAGATATATTTGACACATTTGCAGTATTAATCTATAAGTATAATTTTGTATTTTTAATAAACTAGTAGGTTATGCTAAAATACCTAATTAAATGGCAAAGGTAATGTGATGTGTTTTTTGTTAATACTACTTAATAATGAAGTACTTATAAGTACCTATTTTTCTATGATCACAACATCACATACAGAAAATTGTTTGGGTTTATTGTTATTCCTAATTGAATAGACTAAACTTGAAGACTGTGAGTCCGGTAAAGACAAATAAGTAACATAATAATATTAAATTGCAACTTCAATAATTATCATTTACTTTTTACAACTAAAGCTTATATTAGGATTGCACAAGCTAAATTTACAAAATTGATCGTACAATAAATTAATATTTATTATTTACTAATGTTTATATTTTATATATTACCTACCTAATTTTGTTGTACATAAATTATTAATTTATGCTAATGTTTAATTAAAAAAATTATCACTAAATTTTGTTATGTAAACAGGCTTAATTTTCAGTTTTAAAATAATATAATTTGGTGATATGAATGTTGAGTTCTTAAATTAATACATTAGTGGTTTTAAAACTGGGTGCCGTGAAATGTTTTGAAGAGCACGGTGTGTTATGTTTAATAAAAGTTCAACAACCCCTGTAATACATATTTAATTGAAGTATATTACACTTGCATAATATTGATCAACTGTTTTAAAAAATAGTTGGTTAAGTATTATTGATGTTGGGAAATATGAATATTTTGTAATTTTTAATTATATACGAATTAATTTATTGTGCTATGAACAGTGTACAACATAATAATATTAAAATACATATTGCATTAAGAGTACGTGGTACCCACATGTGCTGTCTTCGTCTTAAACATGTACGACACCATATTTTTGTTTGCCAGGTTCAATGGTGTATTCGTGTGCTGTCAGCTTATACAGGGTGTTGCACGATGTCAAAAATCTAGAGGTGTTTCTACACCTCAAAGGGAACAAAAAAAGTCCTTGTGACCATAATTGAATTATCAATAATAAGAGTGATAATTTCCATGTATGTGTTTTTTTTGTTAAACACAAGTTTGATTCATAATAATGTTCATAAAAGCTAAACTGTAGGTACTACAATTAATTTGAATACATTGATGAAAAGCTCATAAAATTGGGATTAGGAAAACATATCTTACAAGGTTCCCACCTGATTTTTTGGGTGAAAAGTTTTTTGGAGTGAATTGATCTATTATCAAACTTTTATTTAAGAATATTATCTGCGTACTCGTTGGTTTTTTTTACACTATTTTAATTTTTAAGTGAGTTATGACTTATGAGTATGTAAAATATTAATATTTGAAAATGCTCATAATTCACCTAAAAATAAAATGGTATATGGTTAATAATGATCTTCAAATACCAACAGTTAACAAAGTAGAAAACCGTCATTATAAAGAATTTCATTCTAAACTACTTAAGACACTTTTTTGCTGATTTTCATGGGCCATGGGAGATATTTTCTAGACACTGAAACTTTACTCTTAAACTTTCCCGCCTTCGAAACGAGACCGCCAAAGAGCCATGTCTTATCAGAAATTCTTAGAGTAATAGTCTGTACCCACTTATAATTTACATCTATCACGGGGGGGGGGGGTCTGGGTGTCTCCCCCGGTTAGACCGGAGGGCTAGTTTTAATATCAAATATATATTATAATATATTATCTATGATTTCACCAGATTTCGAGTGTCGCTTCTAAAATCAAAATTGTTCTGTAATCTGAAATTTCACAGAACCCTCGGGCCTCGATTCATAAATCATAATTGTTATCAATATAATATTATAATTTTTAAATCATGATAGTTCTTATCATTTTTATTTGAGAAACCAAAAATTAACTATAACCACTATAACTATAGTATAACATAATTTATAACTTATATAAGTCAAAACTCAAGTGACTAGTTAACTCAGTCGAGTTATTTCACTTGTATCTTTTAGTTTGTACTTCGTATCAATCTTATTTAACTTGCTATATAGTTACAGTTACTTACTGTCAACAACTAGTAATTCTCTTAACCATAAATCTTTATTGACCTTATACATTTTTTACCATACTATCGTGTAGATTTATTTCTTATGATATGCAAAATATAAAGGTATTGGTAATGTGCGATATGATAGAAAAATATTCAATTTTCAAACTATAGAAACTATCTAGGTATTATACGTTTGTCATGGACGAAGAAGTTACTAGTGAATTTAGTACCTCCAAAGTTGTTACTGAAAACAAAGAAAAAAGTATATAATATCAAGTCATACCAGATTTGGATTTCTTATTTAGAATATATATTATATTTCATGGTTTTTTTTTATAGTTGAAATACTATTGAAAGCAACTGGTAATGCGCCAATTCTCAAGACGAAAAAATGGATGGTTGAAAAAGAAAAGACAGTGGCTTCTATTCATGAATTCTTACGGAAACTATTAAAACTAGATCCATCAGATAGTTTGGTAAATATATTAAATATATAATATACATTAGTGAAACTGTCTTTCGTTAAAAGGTTATCACATAAAAATGTATTGTCTTTATATCTCTTTCGTATGTTTTTTAACTAAGATTTACATGAATCGACTGTATAGTTCTGTGGTAGAATGGCAGAAAGTCTTATGTTACTTTTCATCCTGATATGTTAGGGTATTTAATGAAGTGGCAACATAATATAGTATTTCATTCTTCATAGATGTCTATTATTTGTGAAATATATCATTATTTTTGTAAAGTTGGTATCGAAATTTAACTTTAAAATGATCTCTACATAGGTTTCAAAAAAAAAGATTTTAACTTCTGCAATACTACCACAGAATTGCTGCACATGATGTGCTTAATTTTTAAACCTATTATGCATTCACATGATTTTACTTTATTTTAATATTATGGATAAACTCTTTTTTAAAATTGAAATGGAACGAATAAAATATATTTAATATTCGTATACTGATGATAGAATATAATATATGTCTATGGAAAAAATAAAACATAAAATGAGGGAAGATAATTATCATAGATTTTAAGGATCTTTAAAATCTTTGATAATTATAATACACTTTTGAGTTTGATCTTTGATAACCTATGTTTTATGAAATATTATAAATTAGTACTTACATATATTTTATCTGTTTATAGTTCTTATATGTGAATCAAGCATTTGCACCACCACCTGATCAGACAATGAAAAATTTATATGACTGTTACAACACAGATGGTCGTCTTGTATTACATTATTGTAAAACCCAAGCTTGGGGGTAAGATCATATTACATTTTGTTTCTTTGGAATTAAAAATGTTTTAATTTGAATTTATATAAAAATTTTTTTATGAATAAATGTGTATATTGTATATAAAAAAAAACCACTTTACAATTATTTAAATTTGAATCTAGTATACTCAATTGCAGGGCCGGCGTTAGCTAATATTTGTGAGGGGTCGTGGTTAACGAAAGTGACGACTGAAATTCATGCATAATTATAAGACACTAAAAAAAAATTTTTGCGACACTCAAAATGTCAAGTTTTTGTTTCGACAATTCCATACTATGTTGGAGCAAAAACTTATTATAAAATCTTGATAAATGCATGTTTTTATACATATTTTTCAATATTCACTATTAATTATGATATTGTTCCAGAGTAAAAATTTGTCAAACCGTTTATAAATAAAACAATAAAACTAATAATGTTTTTGTATCATATGATAAAGAATAAACAAAATCCTAGAGACATTTTTCAATTATTTAAATCACTATTTACCAACAATATTGCCTTTTTAGTTTTTACTTAGAGTTTTTGATCGAAGCTGATTTTTTAGTATCTCTATCTATTTTTTATAACAAATAAGTATTATAATCAGGGCTCGTAACTTCATGCACTAAAAAATGCATAAATAAGCATGCATTCATGCACTAAAAATTGTCAAAATATGCACTTAAAAGTTCGAAAATATGCATTTATATGCCTTCACATTTTTAAATTATGAACTCAAAATATGCATTATGTAAAAAAACATGACCAAATTTTAAAATAATAAGAATAAATCCATACATTTTAAAAGTATTTTATTCCTTTTTATTTTTATATATTTAACAGTCAAAATTAATAAAATAAAAAATAAAATTAATACTTGTGAAGTTCAAATAGCTTTGACATCTTTATAAATTTTAATTAGGTAGTCATTTTTGTCTAATTTGTGTACACCCTTATTCAGCACCAACAATGAAAACATTTGGAATTAAATATTAGGTTTTTCATTTTGAGATAATTTAGTAATATATATTTTATAAGTGTATTTTTTATGTTTTCCAACTTAAGAGGGCGCACTAGTAGACAAAATATGGCATAAAACCATGGTTTCGTAATTCAAGTAATACGGCTTATTGAAGTAGTTTACAGTAAAAATACCTATTATAAAAATTGTAGAGTAGAACTTTTTTTACAATCGTAAGAAGCCCGATTTTCGATATTTTTACTAATTAGCTAAATAATTAATCAATAAAAAATTTAAAAAACCGTTATAATTTACCATGTGTTCGTGGATTGATGTCGAAGGACCAGCCGAGTATGTCTCGACAGAAGAAAACGGTTTATTTTATGGTTTTTTTGTTTAACACCTGAATTCCGGGTGGATAGGCAACTCAACACCTCCGATCACCTAACGCCTGAGAGTTGGTTGGATAGGCAACCTAACATCTGAAGATTTATTTATCGTTTGTTGCCCCCCGAAATTCCGCGCATAGGCAACCTAACATACGACGACTCTGAACGAGAGATTCAACATTAGGACGGAGGTAGGTACAGGTTAACTATGGGGACGGGAATGTTCTGTGGCCGGTCCGGTATGGTGCAATAACCACAGAGCATTTACATAGGTGTGAGGGGTTCTTAAAATTAACTTAAAATTACTGAAGACGAAGTTGAGGCCAGTGTTGTCGTCTCGACGACCTTGGGCGGCCTCTCACACACCCGCCTGCGGGTGCTGGCGGACTTACGCGACGTGTGGACGACCCGAGTGATGCCGTAGTGCAAATCTCGACGACCTTGGGCGGCCTCTCACACACCCCCCTTCGGGTGCTGGCGGACTTACGCTCCGGTTGTACGAACAAATTGATATGGAACAGAGACTTACTCAACACAGAAGAATCCACGGATCGAACGACGCAATTTACCAGCACAGGCTCCGGCTCAAGAGTAGGTACAGGCACGGATAACGGGAATGACGTAACACAGTATTTTGTATAGGTGTAATTTATTTTCCGAAAACGCAATGAACAACAACGGAAATTCGGGCCTCAGTAGCGCCGAGCAACCAGGAATGGAATGCTTGACTTTCCAACAACTGCCGTAATGGCGAGAAAAGCGAAATATAACAGAAAAAAAAGAATATAAGTATGTGCCTCAATGGCGATGACAACAACAATAATAATAATAATAATATGACCACAGGTGGTCGTAATATAGGTTAATGAATAGAATAATAACAACGATAGTGGAACACGATATGGGAAAAAAAAACAAAGAGATTACACGAGGATGTTTATCGCCGTATGTCGACGGCGGCGCGATAACGGAATTTCGGTGTGGCGCGCAAACATCACCGCCCACGTTGAAGGGATCTTCAAGAGGATGGGAATGGGCATAATTTGACGGCAGGGCGAACAAGGTGCCCGGTGGCCGTGTCAACAGTGGCAACACGGGCGATTCCGTCTGCCCCAGGATGCAGTTGACGGACCCGTCCTATTGTCCAATGGAGTGGATGTGTGGCCTCTCGAATGAGTACAAGATCACCAACACGCAGACTCTTTCCATCAGAGCACCATTTTGAGCGAACTTGAAGGGTCGAGAGATACTCGTTCTTCCATCGTGCCCAAAAATGACGATGTATATCTGTTATGAGACGCCATCGAGTGAGTTTTGACAATGGAACATTCTCCAAGTGTGGGTCTGGAAGAGATGTAGATGGTTCAAGTGTCAAGAAGTGACTGGGGGTGAGCGCTTCGAGATCTGACGGGTCATTGCTTAAGGCACAGAGTGGCCTTGAGTTGAGCGTCGCTTCAATTTGTGTCAAAAGCGTCATTAACTCTTCCGCCGTTAACTTGTGGAGACCAATAGATCGTAGAATTAATGATTTGGTCGATTTCACCCCAGCTTCCCATAACCCACCGAAGTGAGGGGACGATGGTGGGTTGAAATGCCATTGGATGTTAGATTTCGCAAGATGAGTCCTCACACAATTTTGAAATGACGTAGAGGTTGTAAGTGTTTGGACTGGGTTTAACAACCGAGCAGCACCAACAAAATTCGTACCGTTATCACTGTGGATTTCTTTCACTGGACCTCGGCGTGCAGTGAAACGTGTTAAAGCTAACAGGAACGTTTCCGTGGACAAGTCTGAGCTTAGTTCTAGATGAATGGCTTTGGTATTAGTGCATACGAATAAACAGATATATGCCACCAAAGAACTGGAGTTCCGTCCTCGGGCCCTCTTGAGGGTAATCGGACCAGCATAATCAACCCCAGCAATTGCAAATGGTTTGATTTGTTGAACTCGGTATTTCGGAAGTGCCGCCATTTTGGGTTGAATGGATAGTGGCCGCGTACGGAAACAAGGGATGCAGAGGCGCAACCGTGATCGGATCACACGTCGCGCTGATTGAATCCAATACGTCCGTTGTAAATAGGTTTGTAACGCAGATGCCCCAGGATGTTTTAGTCGGTGATGGTGATAATCAATGACCAGATCTGTCAATCGATGAGACGATGGCATGAGAATAGGATGTTTATGCTCGTATGGAAGGTCAGCATTTTGCAGGCGACCACCCACTCTGAGGAGCCCATCCTTTGCCAGAAATAAGTCCAATTTGCGAACGGGTTTTGAGCATGGCCACCCTTTTGCTAACAGATCAATCTCTGGTCTGTATACTGATTGTTGGACACTGAAAATAAGTGCAGAAAGAGCGTCATGAATTTCCTCCACACTGAACACTGTAGGAAACTGATCCAATTGTTTCAGCATTTTCAATTTTTTCACTGTTTTGAATCTTAAACAGTACGCATAAATTCGAGAAATTTTGTCCAACGATGAATACCGATCAAGAAATGTGACCACGGAAGAGCCGACTGTCAGACATACTCCAGCAGACTTTCGGACCTCATCATCTGGAGTGGCATTAAGGGGATCCAGCGAATGATCAGTGGACGATGGCCATTGATCAGGAGACTCCAATAGAAATGGTGGGCCATGCCACCAAAGAGGGTGGTTTATGAGCTCAGATGGGTACAAACCACGAGAGGCACAATCAACTGGGTTACATTTGGTGGGAACGTGTCTCCAAATCGAAGGAGACGTCAATTCTTGTATTTGACTGGTGCGGTTTGCAACAAAGGTTGCCCAACGATGTGGTGACGAACGAATCCAAGCAAGCGCTGTAGTCGAATCAGTCCATGCAGTCAGTTTGTCGACGTGTAGGCGATCTTGGAACGTGACGACAGTGAAACGAATGAGTTGGGCTGCGAGAAGAGCTCCACACAATTCCAGTCGGGGGATGGTTACATGTTTTAGAGGAGCGACTCGACTTTTAGCAGTAACAAGATGACAATGGACGGCTGCATGACTTTCAACTCGGAGATAAACAGCCGCAGCATATCCCTTTTGAGAGCTGTCTGCAAATGCATGAAGCTGGACAGATAGTGCATCATCTGCAGTTATCCGTCGAGGAATGTGAAGATTTTGCACTAAATGAAGTTCTGAATGATATCTTGCCCATTGGGAAGACAGATCGGAAGGTATGGGATCATCCCAGTTGGTCCCAGCAATCCAAAGGCATTGCATGAAATGTTTGATCCAGAACGTAGTAGGTGCGAGCAATCCTAAAGGGTCAAACGTTCTAGCGAGATCAGACAACACGGATCGTTTGGTAGGACTTTTGGATGATGGTTGTGTATGGAACGAAAAACTGTCCACCGATGGATCCCATTTTAATCCCAGGACGTTTAGATCTTCATGTCCTGACGAGTTGAATAACAGTGATGGACACATAGCCCGAGCCTCTTTCGGAACTGCCTGAAGTACATTGGAGTTGTTACTCGCCCACTTCCGTAAGTCGAATTTAGCTAGGGCGCACAATTTGACTAATTGTTGTTGACATTCAAGTGCAAGGTCTTCAGTGTTTGCACCAGTAATAATATCGTCAACGAACGTATCGTGGAGCAATACTTTAGCAGCTTGTGGATACTTAGGTCCATCAACGTTGGCTAATTCACGAACTGTCCTAAGAGCTTGGTATGGGGCTGCAGATGTACCGTATGTGACCGTGCATAAGCGATATTCCTCTATAGGAGAGTCAAGGGAGAACCGCCAGAATATTCTCAAGTAATTTCGATCTGAGGGATGCACAACAATTTGACGGTACATTTGTTTC